TTCAAAGACACTAAGTTCCTCACTCTGTGTTGAGAATTTTCAACAAGATCATGTAGTTGATCAGCTAAGAGGACATTTCAATCTCATGCTTCACGTTTGCTCGGTGGAGCAATTTATGCCAAAGCCCTCTTTTCCTTTCTGTGCAATGTCAATGTCATTTTAATCAATGTCAATAGTGAAAATAAAAACATTTGAAGTAATGGGCCTGGGCAGTGGCAGTAGATATAGGAAGGAGAAATTAACAAATCATTGAACATTCTCCCTTGTGAAATATTATTTTGTATGTTTGACTGATTTGATTTATAAGTAACCTAGGTGTATTATTCAGAAATGGAGGTTCAAAAATCTATCACTTGCTCACTAGATTGAAATAGGAGCATTTATTAATTCATGAATATAGAGTCTGAAGTGACAAATGAACAAAACCACAGGTTTCCTTTATGTGTATTGCTTCCTTGGCATTGAGCTTATTTGGAAGTTGGAAGACAGAATCAACATTTCATAAGGGTAGAGTCCACACCAGATAAATAGATCTTTAGGAACGACCTGGTGTAACAAAAAGATATTTTTAATTAACATTTTAAATTTTACAAAAGACTAAAAGTTCTTGTTATTATAGAAAAAATAATAAAACATGAAAATGCTGCCTGATAAACCATTCTTTTCATTCAATTTATTTTCTTGGTTTACAATTACTTATGTTTCAAGAAATGTATTTTCACTAATGTATGGAAAGAAGCTGAATTGCTGAGGTCTATTAAACAGCTAGACAGTAACTGCTTAATATTTTCACCCTGGGGGTCACGATATTATAGAATGTCAGGGCCAAAGGGCACCTTGGAGATCATAGTATCTTTGTCACACCATTTCATTTATGGATAGGCAACTCCAGTTCACAGTTTAGGTGACTTCATTCCTTAATTCATTCAAGCACCATTTATTATCTGTCTACTTGGGTCAATGGCTTCCCTTGTGGCTCAGCTGGTAAAGAATCTGCCTGCCATGTGGGAGAACTGGGTTCGATCCCTGGGTTGGGAAGATCCCCTGGAGAAGGGAAAGGCTACCCAGTCCAGTATTCTTGCCTGGAGAATTCCATGGGTTATACAGCACATGGGGCCGCAAAGAGTTGGACAAGACTGAGCGACTTTCACTTTCACTTTCTGGGTCAATGGCCTAGACCAGGAGTATACATATGAACATGATTGCCTGAGCTGGAGGAACTCACTCAGCAGAGAGGGAGGCAGACACAGAGAGGCAGTCAGAACATCCTGATGATACAATGTGACAGGGTTATAAGGAGACCAACACAAAGTGGGAGGAGCCAGGACAGAGGGCCGGCCTACCTCGGGTTAAGGTGGAGAGCGGCTGAGGGGAACGCCAACAGCAGGACAGATATATGGGGTGAAGCCTCAGGAAGCCTCACGCCCCCTTGGTTACACTCTGCTCCTTCCCCAGCCCCCTGTCTCCTCAGCAAAGACAGGGCACGGAGAACAAAGCCTCAAGTCTCAGAGCACTGAGACAAAACTGAAAACAAGAGTCCTTCTTCAGCCTCTTACATGGATTACAAGATTTGTCTCTTTAGAGTGAAATACATTAGGTCTGTTTCCTAATAACAAGCATGTGACTGTGCTAACAGAAGCATTAAATACACTGTTAAGGAAAGCCACCCATATTCAAAGAGCATATATGGCAAGAGTAGTTTCTCTCCTTAGATGAGAAACCCAGAAATGCTGAACCACACAGAAATCTTTTTTTTAATTAATTTATTTATTTTGGCTGCATTCAGTCTTAGTTGCAGCACACAAGCTTATTTGCCCTGAGGCATGTGGAATCTTAGTTCCTGGACCAGGTATCAAATCTGTGTCCCCTCATTGGAAGGTAGATTCTTTTTCTTTTTTTATTTTATTATGAAAAATTGTGTTAAACATTTACAAAAGAAGAGAATAGTTTGGAGGGACTGCCAGGGAAGTCTCCAGAACATTTTAATCAACGTGCCCAGAGCAGCAGATGGATAGCGTCACTGATTCAATGTACATGAGTTTGAGCAAACTCCAGGAAATAGTGAAGGACAGGGAAGCCTGGCATACTGCAATCCACAGGTTCGCAAAGAGCTGGACACAACTGAGTGACTGAACAACAACCAGAGCAGCAACTCGGGCCAAGAAATGTCAGCTTCGGGTCTGGATGCAGACAGGAATCCAAGGTTTCTACTAACTGACCAAATTTATCTCCTTGACCAAACCCTGGTCAGGCTCCTTTGAACCCTCTTCTTGAATTGACCTCAACCTTGGCCTAAAAACCCTGCAGACTCTTGGCACAAAAGATACCATCCACCTCCCCACACTAAGAGTCTTGAACAAACACTACCTACATGCCTAAGGAGATCCTGGCCTAGGAAAACTTAAGGAGCCAGGAGAATGTACTATTTGTTCAGGCCAAAACCTGGTGGTAGGCAAATCAGCCCCTTGAATCCCAGCTAGAGCATTCACTTTAGAAACCTTTCAATTATAAATCCTTTTCCTCCTCCTTTGAGGTATAAATCATTTACCACTCAGAACTGCCTTGTCTCTTTCATATGCTAGCATTCAAGGAGGGGCTTTAACTTGCACCACTGCCTCCAGTCATAAAGACTTTGACCCAGAGGTGGTTGACCCAGTTCCCTCCACTTTTTATAAATTTCCGCTGACTCTGCTCAAGTACCTGCTGTCCCAATCCCTTCTTTTTTTTTTTTTTTTTAAAATTCTGGCTGCACTGGGTCTTTGTTGAGGCACACAGACTCCTCTAACTGCAACACATGGGCTCAGTTCCCCCAAGGCAGGTGGGATCTTACTTTCTGGTCCAGGGATCAAATCAGGGAAGTCCCCTTCCTTTTCCTTTTAAAATGCCCAGTTACCTCGGTACAAACCGAGCCTGGTTCATGCTGGGTTCTCTTCCCTACTGTGACAGTTACTGAATAAAGTCCGTCCTTTACACTTCAACTGGTGTCCAGTTTTATCTTTGACACAGGAAAACAAATTAAGGGGGAAAATATCTAGGTTCCCCTAATTAAGTATGTTTTATTATCATCACTTAAAGTATGTTGGGGCCAACACAGATGGTTGGCAGCCAACCTTACTTTGGGGGAACAAGAGAAATGCCCAATATTTACCAGCATTTCAGGTCTACAGTCGCTGGTAACTGCTCCACTTTGTCACTCCAGCATCAATTCCCACCGAACCCAGCCTTGCCACATTCAACCTGGCAACTAAAAAAACGCCAGTTCCAACAAGTTGCTGGTTTTCTTTCCCACCTGTCTGCTTTTGAGTTCTTTCCGGTTGATCCATATAAACTGAGTCCCACTCACTTTTTACAGCAGAGCGCAGAACCCATTTGAAAAGGAACCCATGGCAGTAGCTGCCCTGATAGTCCAGGTTCAGATTACCCAGAGTCAGGTCCCAGCTCTGGCACTTGCTAGCTTTAAAACTCTGGACAGTTTAATCAGTTTGTGTCTCTGTTTCTTCATCTGTGAAATGGTTATAGTCACATCATGTCTTTCATAGGCTTGTAAGACTTTTATTAGACAATAGCTGCAAAGTGCTTAGAGCAAAGCTATTTTTGTTACTCTCTCCAGGAAAACTTGGCAGAACTTGTTCACAGAACTAACCGTCCTCTCCCCAGTCCCTCAGCTTGTCCTTTCCTCTGCACTCCCAACGGGATTCCACAAGACAGCCTGGGTTCAAATCTCAATTTTGCCACTCCAATTCACACGTTTCCTTGCATCAACCACTTAATCACCCCCTGCCTCAGTTTCCTCAACCAAAAAAGGGTGAACTTCCCTCTTGTTACCCTGGAATTTGGGTGTCCACTTTGCACCCTTGCTTGGGTGTGGGCTCAAATTCCACTCCGGTTTACTAAGAGCTTGTTTGAATGAAGGAATATGGGAACCTAGTAACAGTCACCCTACAGCTATCCCAAAGGAAAAGGAATTCATTTTTGGCAGAGAAGATAAAGGCTAAATTTGGAAACTTCTGAGGATCCACATCGGACTGGTTCCAACAACAGACTGGTTCCAAATCAGGAAAGTATGTCAAGGCTGTATATTGTCACCCTGCTTATTTAGCTTACATGCAGAGTACATCATCAGAAACACTGGACTGGATGAAGCAAAAGCTGGAATCAAGATTGCGGGGAGAAATATCAATAACCTCAGATATGCAGATGACACCACACTTACGGCAGAAAGTAAAGAAGAACTAAAGAGCCTCTTGATGAACATGAAAGAGGAGAGTGAAAAAGTTGGCTTAAAGCTCAACATTCCCTGGTGGCTCAGATACTAAAAGCATCTGGCTACAATGAGGGAGACCTGGGTTCAATTCCTGGGTTGGGAAGATCTCCTGGAGAAGGAAATGGCAACCCACTCCAGTATTCTTGCCTGCAAAATCCCATGGACAGAGGATCCTTGCAGGCTACAGTCCATGGGGTCGCAAAGAGTCTGACACAATTGAGCGACTTCACTTTCAGAAAACTAAGATCATGGCATCCAGTTCCATCACTTCATGGCAAATATATGGGGAAGCAATGGAAACAGTAACAGACTTTATTTCTGGGGGGCTCCAAAATCACTGCAGATGGTGACTGCAGCCATGAAATTAAAAGATGTTTGCTCCTTGGAAGAAAAGCTATGACAAACCTAGACAGGATATTAAAAAGAAGAGACATCACTTTGTCAACAAAGGTCCGTCTAGTCAAAGCTATGGTTTTTCCAGTAGTCATGTATGGATGTGAGAGTTGGGAGTACAAAAAAAACTGAGCGCTGAAGAATTGATGCTTTTGAACTGTGGTGTTGGAGAAGACTCTTGAGAGTCCCTTGGACTGCAAGGAGATCCAACCANCTCCCGGCGCCGGCGCGCGGAGCGGTGCATTTCGGGACGTCTAGTTTCCCCGCGGCACTGTGGGAGTCGTGGTTTGTGTGCGGCCCCGCCTACCCACTATGGCGGTGCAGGCTCCCTGCGCAGGCTGCCTGCGCCGACGCGCGGAGCGGTGCATTTCGGGACGTATAGTTTCCCCGCGGCACTGTGGGAGTCGTGGTTTGTGCACGGCCCCGGAGCTGGACCCTCCGCGGCGTGGAGCTGTAAGTGGGCGGCGTCGGTGTCTGCCGGATCCTGACCCGAAACCCCGCTGCTCTTTGGGGGGCGCCCAGGCATCGTGTTCGCGCTTTCTCTCCATGACTCTGTCCAGCGGGACCGTGGGGGTGACAGCCACCACGGCCCACCCCCGCGGAGCGTCCGGCCTGGCTGGGTTGTCCAGGCATCCCAAAATGCACGGATCCAGTGGCGGGGGTTGCGGGGCGCGGCGTGTGGAGGCTGGCACGCAGGCCGAAGGGGGGTACCCAGATGTGGTTCCAAGCGAGAGAGGTTTGGGGGTTCAGCGAATGTCTCAGACGCTCTGTTGTGTAGGTGGGGTAAGCGGTGGTCTCCCTGGACCGTCATCTTCGGGCCTGAGCGGGGCAGCTTTTGCCCCCTACACCAGTGTCGGGGCTGGAGAGGACCTTTACCTGGCCCTCCAAGTCACGGAGGGGCTGAGGCCCAGCCCCTCGCCCTGGGAACTCTGGCCGACCCCGGCGTGGGGCTCAGAAGTCAGCCCAACTGATAACCACCACTTCATCTGGACCCCCACCCCCACTTCCTCCACGCACCCATCGCTACTTCAAATGATGGGGTGAAGGGTTGGGGTGGAAAGAGGCTGGGAATGAGAGCAATTTCGGGAAGTTCAGGTTAAGGACACAGCCTAGCGAGTGGCTGTAGTGAGACACCAAGAGAGGGACCCACCCTTGGGTCTGTTAGGTGGACCAAGAATAAAATTGTGGACTATACCTTGGCCATATTGCTGTAATTAGCCTAATCAAGATAAGCCAGTAGCTTTTCTATTTTCTTTAGGAGAAATGTAGCAAAGGAAAAATCAGGATATTTTTGCAGTAAAGGAAATAGAACCATCTCTTTCTAAGCCATTGTTATCTTTGAGTTTAAAGCTAAGACTGGATAGTTCCAGGGGAAGTTTAAAACTTCCTGCACTTTGTAGATTTTATGTCTCTCAAAACTGTCCCCATCTGGTTGGCTTTTGTAGTTCAGCCCTCAGACACCAGCTGCCTCCTGGTTCCAAGACTGTATCAGGTGTACATATGGCAGCCGAGCAACTAGCCTGCTGATATTTTTAGCTGTCTCAGTTGTTCTCACTTGCTGAAGTCCTGCAGGGAGCTGCAAAAATGGCTGAGTTGCAGCCTGTAATTTAAGGGAGATTGGGAAGAGTTATCATTTGGAGGCAGTGGGTGGAAAGAAGTTTGATTAATTTGCTCTCTCTCCCACCCTCAACACACTCCTTTGCAGATGGACTTTTAAATTTCTTTCCTGAAGAGATGGAATTTTGTCACTCTAGATACGACGAGGCAGCCACCAGTAATTTTTTTACAGTTAGATGCTGTGATATCAGAGAGAATGTGACTTAGGAATTTCAGAGTTGCAGCATTGTTCTTTGGATTTTTAAAATGGTAACACTTTGGCTTAGAGAGGCTAATGGATTGCCCCCGGGTCAGATGCCTTGTCATTGGCGCCCCCAAGCATAGAGTCTAGATCTCCAGTTCTGGTCATCTGGGGTTGGTTCTTTATCCCATGCCCTGCTGTCTCATTTGCCCTGGCCACCACTTGCTTATGTTCTTCAGCTTACCATGTCCATTACTGGAAAGACATTTATCATAACAATTATGGTTGGTATTTGTGTAGTGCTTTTCATGTGCTGAGCTGGTGCTTAATGTTTTTATAATCTAGTCTTTGAAGGAGAATTTACAGAGTAGGGAGCTGAGGTTTAGAGAGGCCCAGTGACTCATCCAAGGTCATACCACTGGTAAACTTAGCACATGATTGCCAGAGGGCCAGACCACCAGGCGTTCTTTTTACTTCCTCCTATAAGTTTTTTTGGACTTTTTTGTGGTCCTTGACCTTGGAAATTAATATCTAACCGACTTCACTAAGTGAGTCATTTGGTCTTGGAAAATGTGTGGGAAACAGCCAAACCTGTCTACTTATATATGTAGACACTCAATAAAAATAGAGGTGAGAAAAATAAAATTAATACAACCTTCAGTTCAGTTGCTCAGTCGTGTCCGACTCTTTCAGATTCCATGGACCACAGCACACCAGGCCTCCCTGTCCTTCACCAGCTCCCTGAGTTTACTCAAACTCATGTCCATCAAGTCGGTGATGCCGTTCAACCATCTCATCCTCTGTCATCCCCTTCTCCCGCCTTCAATCTTTCCCAGCATAGACATTTTAATTTACAACAGGGCTCATTCCTGAGATTATCAGAGATTATTCAAAGTGAAAATTCCAGCAACAGGTTGTAACGTGTTAGGAACTTATTTCTCCCGGGCAGGTCAGAATCTACTGCTCCTTATAGACAAAGAAATCTTTTATACACGAAGGTGATGAGCACCTTCGGCTTCCCTGGTGGCTTAGAAGGTAAAGAATCCACCTGCAGTGTGGCAGACCTGGGTTTGAACCTTGGATTGGGAAAATCTGGAGGAGCGCATGACAACCCACTCTAGTATTCTTGCCTGGAGAATCCCATGGACAGAGGAGACTGGTGGGCTACAGTCCATGGGGTCGAAGAGAGTCGGACACTACTGAGCGACTTAGCACAATGAGTGCCTTCAATCATGGTCATCTTGTTTAAACGGACGTATGGTGTAAATTCCTGTCATGAGCTTATCTGACTTTGAAAAAGTCATGGGGAAAGCTTGGCTATCTTGTGCCAGCTGCCCGCTTGTGTTCAAGATACTATGACCTTGGATGTGAAGGAGGTCTGAACTTTTTATGTTTAGATGCTTTGTTAAGTGAAAGTTTTCAGAAAAACATGTCTGAAGTTTATCTCATTTTCCCCATTCCAAAGGCCTGTGAGTTTTTCTTAATCCTAATTGTAAGTCCATTTAAAGAAAGGCATCCCCATGATTTTTTTAATGCGGAGCTCTCTGCATTAGGATCAGACCCTGGGGCCAGACTGGATGATTACAATCCCAGTCCATACTGTGACTGTGGACGTGTCACTGTCATGTAAACTGGCACTAGTGGTGAAGAACCCTCCTGCCAGTGCAGGAGACCTGAGAGATGCAGGTTCAGTCCCTGGGTCGGGAAGGTCCCCTGGAGGAGGACATGGCAGCCCACTCCAGTGTTCTTGCCTGGAGAATCCCGTGGACAGAGCAGTCCATGGGGCTGCCAAAAGAGTTGGATACGACTGAGTGCACACGCGTGCACACACACATTCCAAAGTATAGACGATAAACTACACCTCTGGGGACAGGTGTAAAGACTAGCTGAGCTGTTGGCATGCAGTGCACTTTAGCATGGCTGGGCACAGTAAAGAGAAGCTGTGATTCTTAACGCTGAAAGTCTCCGAATTGCAGAAGTAGAGGCCCCCAGAGCCCATGTAGTTGACACTCCTGTCTTCATTTACAGATGGGACGGAGGCCCCCAGAGGGGAGTCACTTACCAGAGCGAGTAGGCCCTTCATCCAGAGCTCAAGTCTTCTGACTCGTGGGGTATGTGTCCTGGTCTAAAGATAGTGACGTGGGAGGCCTCAGAGCAAATCCTGTGCCCCGTCTGGGTTCCTGCCTTGTCTCTTCCGCTTCACCTTCCCCTCCATCCCCCTGACGTTTTAGAGGGAATTCTAAGATTGGAATGACTTTCTTAATATCATTTCCCCCCATCCTTGATTCCCTTCCCACCAGATACTTTTGAAAACCAATATTACCTTGAGGCTTCACTGGTGTTCCAGTGGTTAAGAGTCCATCTTCCAACACAGGGACACAGGTTCAGTCCCCGGCAGGGACCTCAGGTGCACGCGCCATGTGGCAGCTAAGCCACGCACCTCTGCTGCGAGCCGAGAGCCACAGGAGAAGATCCCACATGCCGCATCTAAACCCCAGCACAGCCCGATTTATAAATAAATTAACAAATGAACACTAAAGCAAGACAGTATTCCTTTAATTAATGCTCAGGACCTGAGACATAAAATGATACCCCCACCACAGACTCTTGTTCAGGGCAGGAGGTGGGGAGAGGGTCAGATTAGGGCCTGGGCACCTCTGGCCACAGATGAATGGAGTGGGAGCGCGCTTTCCCTTAGGAGTGGGGCCAACACCTCTGCTTGGCTGTGCTTCCTTCCCGGTCAGGAGCAGCCAAGGAGATTGTTCTGCTCAGCAAGAGCCGAGGCTGTCTCGCTCGCTGGGGAGGCCTGACCCTCATCTCTGCAGAGCTTGCTGTCTTGGCTTGTGAGCCTTTCTCCCCATCACAGAGAAATCTTCCTAAGGCGGTCTATCTGGAAAACTCAAATTAACCTGTTTCTTCTCTTCCCCATCAGAACAGTGGGACCTGCCGCAACTGGGTTCCCTCTCCTCCTTGTCTTCGTGGCCCACACAACCAGGAGTGAACTCCCAGTTGGTCCAGCATGAACTGGAAGGTAAGAATATCATCAGACATTTATGGCTTGCGGGTTTGCTTTCTCCTGATTTTTATGCTCTTCTTCCTTAATCTTTCCCATTTGTGTTGCCAACAGTATTTTGTTTTCTACTTCAAATTGAGTCTTTCAAAACAGACAGCTTAGTTTTCATGGAAACAGCCTTTCCTTTCTGTGGTCATATTTCATGAGTGCCATGTTTAAATAGATTATCCATTATGACATCAAGTGCTACTTAAATATACTGACTGTGGAATAAACACAGCTGACTCCTGTAAAACCTTTGATACAGCTGGTGGAAGCAGAAGTTCAAGGGCAACCAAAGAGTGTCCTGTGAGCTGCAAGCCTGCAGAAGGCTGCGGGCCACAGTCAGTGGGCCTTACGGGGGCAGGGGGGTGTCATGTTACCCCCTTTAAGAAAGTGGAGTGAGGTAGGTGCAGGGTGGCTACTAGGGCGGTCATGAAAATAGATGCTTTGAAAAGGATCGAATCAAGTCAAAATCATATATCTTTTCACTATCCAGAGATGGCTGCTATTAATATTAACAATTTGGTGTATTTTATTCCCATGTTTTTTCTATGTATATTTGTAATGTGTATATCTCCAAGCTTAGGATCTCATTATATGTATTTTTTTCAGTTATAAGAATTTTCTGGTTTGAAACAGCCACTGGCTTTCCTCACAGGAAGTGGAAAGATCTGGAAGCAGGATCAGGGAGCCGGGAGAGTACAGTTCAGTTCAGTCACTCAGTTGTGTCCGACCACATGGACTGCAGCATGCCAGGCCTCCCTGTCCATCACCAGCTCCCAGAGCTTACTCAAACTCATGTCCATTGAGTCCATGAGGCCATCGAACTGTCTCATCTTCTGTTGTCCCCTTGTCCTCCCACCTTCAATCCCTCCCAGCATCAGGGTCTTTTCCAATGAGTCAGTTCTTCGCATCAGGTAGCCAAAGTATTGGAGTTTCAGCTTCAGCATTAGTCCTTCCAATGAACACCCAGGATTGATCTCCTTTAGGATGGACTGGTTGGATCTCTTTGCAGTCCAAGGGACTCTCAAGAGTCTTCTCCAACACCACAGTTCAAAAGCATCGATTCTTCAGCGCTCAGCTTCGGACCCCCTCCTTCCCTAGCCTTGTGGGGCCTGGGGCCGTGCAGGGGGCTCTGGGGACTCTTTTCCAGGAGGAGCCTGGCTAAGGGTCAGGAGGTGGAGTGAAGACTCTGAGGGCTTAGAGATGTAGGAACGTGCGTGTCGCACATGTGGGGCTTTCCAGAGCTGCCTGTAGAAAGGCCAGGAAGGAAAGACGGCGGGGGGTGGGAATGAGAGGTCGTGGGGATAGGGGCTGGGCGCAGCATGCCCTGAGACGTGGTGAAGGGTTTGCAGCATCGGCAGACCCTGGAGTGAGTGGCTGACGGCGGGGTGGTAGCTGGTAACAGAGGCCCAGCATCGGCAGAGCCTGGAGTGAGCAGTTGGTGGCGGGGCGGTGGCTGGTATCAGAGGCCACGGCAGCAGGGCCAGTGTGTGTGCTGGGTGCTCCGAGGCCAGAGCGAGCCTCACAGCTACCTGAGAACTGTGGCCCCACCCACTGGAGTTTGATCGCGTTGGCCTGGGGGGGAAAGAGTTCCTGGGTGGTGCTGATGTATCCCAGTGAGCCACTGCACAGAGAAAGCTTTCTTTTTAGCTGTGGAGTGACAGCAACCCACTTGACTGCCCAGGCCAACTCGACTTGTCGCAGAAGGGGTCCTCTCCTATGTCAGGAACATAGTTTTGTACAGAAAACTGTACAAAAACCGCCCGTACCTTCGCGACCTTCAGGCAGACACACAGCTCCAGGGCTACCAGGGAGCCCTTCCAGGTAACGTCTGAAAGGAATGGCCTTCTGCCCACACTGCAGTGACCTCCCCTGCCCCCCACAGGAAGTTAAAGGACCGTGGGACCCCCAAGACATCCTGTGCTTCCCTGTCTACCTCCGTCAGCCTGTGGCCATGAGCAACAGTCAGCGACAGCCAGCACCTAATACCTTAGTATCTCAGCAACTGGGGGCATTGAAAATGTCAGTCATTCGCGGGACTTCCCTGGTGGTTCGGTGGTTAAGACTCCGAGCTCCCAACACAGGGGGCAGGGGTTTGATCGCTGGTCAGGGAACTAAGATCCCATATGCTGCAGGGTGTGGCCAACAATAAATTTAAAAAGTCAGTCATTCTCATTACATGAGTATCGGCATTTGTTTAAAAAAACTGATATAGAGCTAGACCACCCAACTATGTTTTCTTGATTTACTTCCCTGAAGGTTTGGGAGTTAATCTGAGGGTTTTGTTAGAAGGGAAATCAAAGGAAGAGAGTTCATATGACTAAAAACTAAGATCGTGGCGTCTGGTCCCATCACTTCATGGCAGCAGTGGGTGGGGAAACAGTGGCTGACTTCATTTTTCTGGGTTCCAAAATCACTGCGCCAGAGGGATCGGGTGGAGAGGGAGGTGGGAGGGGGGACCGGGATGGGGAATACATGTAAATCCATGGCTAATTCATTTCAATGTATGACAAAAACCACTGCAATGATGTAATTAGCCTCCAACTAATAAAAATAAATGGAAAAAAAATATTTGAGAAGGTGTAATGAATACTATCGAAACTGTGATACCTAAATAAAATATATAAATACAAAACAAAAAACAAAATCACTGCAGATGGTGACTGCAGCCATGAAATTAAAAGACACTTACTCCTTGGAAGGAAAGTTATGACCAGCTTAGACAGCATATTAACAAGCAGAGACATTACTTTGTAAACAAAGGTCCGTCTAATCAAGGCTATGGTTTTTCCAGTGGTCATGTATGGATGTGAGAGTTGGACTGTGAAGAAAGCTGAGTGCCAAAGAATTGATGCTTTTGAACTGTGGTGTTGGAGAAGACTCTTGAGAGTCCCTTGGACAGCAAGGAGATCCAATGAGTCCCTCCTAAAGGAAATCAGTCCTGAATATTCATTGGAAGGACTGATGCTGAAGCTGAATCTCCAGTACTTTGGCCACCTGATGTGAAGAGTTGACTCATTGGAAAAGACCCTGATGCTGGGAAAGATTGAAGGTGGGAGGAGAAGGGGATGACAGAGGATGAGATGGTTGGATGGCATCAGTGACTCAATGGACATGAGTTTGGGTGGACTCCGTGAGTTGGTGATGGACAGGGAGGCCTGGAGTGCTGCAGTTCATGGGGTCGCAGAGTCAGACATGACTGAGCGACTGAACTGAACTGAACTGAAAGATCTAGCACGCCTGCCTGAGAAAGTTGTGGAAACTGTGGCCCTGAAAGTTTTCGCTATAGCCCGTGTAGCATCCTTGACTCCCCCTGCGCTGCCTACTCTCAGTCCCGAAACTTCTGCCTCTTGCCGCCTCCTCCCCACAGCCTTTAAAAAGAAAGTGAATACTGAAACTACTTCCCTGGGTTTGTTTGTTGACGTGCTTCCATTTCCTGGGTTTCTGGCTTCTGGTTTCCATGTACATCCTGTCACTGCTAGAGCTTCGTTTGGGTGTAGATCTTGAAAAATAGTGGGCTGGGCTTCCCTGGGTGGCACTAGTGGTCAAGAACCTGCCTGCCAGTGCAGGAGACGCAAAAGATGCAGGTTTGATTCCTGGGTCTGGAAGATTCCCCTGGAGAAGGGTATGACAACCCACTCCAGTCTTCTTGCCCGGAGAATCCCATGACCAGAGGAACCTGGTGGGCTCCAGTCCACGGGGTCTCAAAGAGTTGGACACGACTGAAGCAACTCGGCACTCGTGCATGAACTGTGGGCTGTGATAGGGGTTTGATTAGGACAGGACTCCAGGGGCTCATCCACAGGGACGGAGAGAATTGGGAGGGAGAGACTTGCCAGCGTCTAGGGCTAACTAGGGCTCAACCTGGAAAAGGCCCAGTGAACGCAAAATGAAGTTTATATCTCCAGACTGGTGATTTTTGTCTCCAAGGAGGTAAAAGTTAGCATCTTTTCTTTCTTAGCTGGCTTATGAATGTAGAGCCAAGCCTCACCTCTAAGATGTGACCCTTCAAGAAAATAGATGAATTAGATGAGTTAGAGGGTTGTTGGGTGGAAGTCAGGGAGATTAGCCATAGGTCTGAGGCAGGAAGGACCTGGACACCAAGTCAATGTTCTAAGCAGCTTGTATTTATCAGGGTAAAAGGTTTTTGCTTTTGTAACCTTTTTAGTCTTTTACACTGTTTGCCAGAGTGAGCTTTCTGAAGTGTATAGATTGGGCTTATTCTTTACTGTTTAACCTGATTCTGTGGTTGAAAACTGTTGTCTAGTTATTCAGAGTGTTCTTGGGACATAATTTGTTGATTTCAGTTAATTCCACTTCATTGAAATCAAGAGTCAGTGGAAAGACGGCTGATGCAGGAGTCAGAGTGTTCGGTTCCAGCTCTCGCTCCGCCTGAATGAGCCGTGTGACGCGGCGGGCTCATCGCCCTGAGCTTTTTACTCTCCTCCTTTGTAGAACGAGGTGAAGACCGAGTCTTCATTCAGATCCTTTCGCAGTTGAAGTTTTCATTAACCCGTTTCAGATCAACTTCAGTTAAACCATCAGAGGGAGGGACGCATGTAGTCTCCATGGAAGAATCTCCTTGTCCCAGTGCTCTGTGTAATTAAGTGATGGTTGGCATTTCACCTGAGGAGTTCACTGGACTAATCCTGCTTGGTCCTCCGGAATAATGATCTCTCTCAATGAAAGCGTACCTTTTCACTTTATCTGGGAAGGAATTTTTAATCACACACAAAAGCTCATAATTATTATTCAGGTCCTACTAATCGTGTTTCCCAAACTACTATACTATTTGCCTTGAGATACTTGTGATGTATAGAATTTCATAATAAAGACTGCTCATGCAAAAGGTGAGTAATTCCAATCCCTAGTTATTCCCCAGATCTCGTATTTGCCAATGGGTTAAAACTTCGCTCCAAGAAAAGAATTACAGAAACAGTGTATTAAGTAGCTAAGCTTTAACATTTTAAGTTTTGCTGCATTTTACTTGTATATTTATTTTGCCTTCAAATACCAGTGCTAATGCGTAGTTGGAGCCAATCATAGCATCCCATAAGGGTGGAGTTTCAGAAGGAAGATTGGTCCAGCCTCCCTTTGCAGGTGAAGAGGCAGAAGCTGGGGAAAGTCAAGTGACCGATGCGGGTCGCATGTGCTGCGCATGGGTCAGCGAGTGGCCTGAGCGGGGCTGCGCCCAATCCCCCGGCTCCCGCTGTTCACTGCAGACCGTGCCGCTGCCTCAGGCTCAGGGGGTGAGGGGCAAGGTGCACGGTCAGGTTGTGAGAGAGCACAGCCATGGCGTCTGTGAAGCCAGCAGCCAGGGGGTGGTGAAGGGCACCTGAAACCAGGCTGCCCGCAACCTGGAACCGAGCCCTCATCTCTCCTGCGCCCGGGAGGCCCCCACCCAGCCAGTGCCCAGGAAATGTGTGCTAAGTGAAGGGACGCGAAGGAAATTCCTTACCATGATGGAACGTCTCCAGGAGTTTTCTTTCTTCTTTAAGGTGCTTGAACACTTCCCCCTGCTGCTGTATATCTTGGCGGCGAAAACACTAATCCTCTGCCTGGCGTTTGCCGGAGTCAAAGTCTACCAGAGGAAACGACTGGAAGCAAAGCAGCAAAAGCTGGAAGCTGAGAAGAGGAAGCAGGCGGAGAAGAAGGAGAGCTAGAGGGAGTGAAAGGTATGGGCCTTGCCCACCTGACCTACACGTGGGTTAGGGCGGGCCTGCCCGGGAGGTGAGAACTCTGCCCGCCTCGGGCCTGAGGCTACGGAGGGCGCAGGGCCCCGCCTGCCCGGGAGGTGATGAGAACTCTGCCCGCCTTCTGAGGGCGCAGGGCCCCGCCTGCCCCCGGAGGTGATGAGAACTCTGCCCGCCTCGAGCCTGAGACTACGGAGGGCGCAGGGCCCCGCCTTCCCCGGGAGGTGATGAGAACTCTGCCCGCCTACAGAGGGCGCAGGGCCCCGCCTGCCCCGGGAGGTGATGAGAACTCTGCCCGCCTACAGAGGGTGCAGGGCCCCGCCTGCCCCGGCAGGTGATGAGAACTCTGCCCGCCTCAGGCCTGAGGCTACGGAGGGCGCAGGGCCCCGCCTGCCCCGGGAGGTCGAGCAGCTCGGTGTCAGGTCCGAGTGCAGGTCCTGACCTTTGAGCCCGTCTGCTTGGGGGCCGCAGGGGGTGGACAAGTCCTCGTCTCTGCTCCAAGCCTGCAACGGTCCTCCCTTCACAGGAGTAGGGGTATTTGACAGGATTTGGGTCACAGGACTCTTGAGCCTTTCAGGAAGTTGTGGACCTTCTCCCTGGAGAAGCTTACTTACTAGAAACACCTAAATTAGACCTAACATTGCAGACAGGGATGGGGAGGACGTGGGATCGCAGGTCACTTAAGACCCCTACCTGTACCTAAGATTAAGAAACCCTGCTGACCTCAAAATAAAGTCCGACTCCTAGATTCGGCATGTAAGTCCTTCTCACTCGTGCTCACCCAGGTCACGTGTCCCCCTCTGCTGCCTCTCCCCACGCTCCTGCAGACCACCTTGACCACGGTAGATTCTCTTGGCCTTTGCTTGTTAGTCCCCTGGCCCAGAGAGCCTTCCTTATGACCACTCCATCAGCAAAAAATCTTCCTCATTGCTATAGTCTGGTGCCTGTCTCGGAGCTCGTGTGTGTGTGTGTGTGTGTGTGTGTGTGTGTGCGCGCGCGCGCATGCATTCAGTCGTGTCCAACTCTTTGCGACCCCCACCAGGCTCCTCTGTCTCTGGGATTGTCTAGGCAGGAATCCTGTAGTGGGTTGCTATTTCCTGCTCCAGGGAATCTTCCCGACCCAAGGATGAAACCCAGGTCTCCTGCACTGGCAGGCGGATTCTTTACCACTGAGCCATCTGGCAGCTTCCCACAGCACAGGGGCTGCCCAGAGCGTGTTTGTTTTTAAGGCACCAGGAAGTGACTCACCCCTCAGCTCACAGGTTAGACTAAGACGGTCAACAGGTTCCTTCATTCTCCTGTGCTCCCCCAGTTTCACCACTGCTCGGGCTGAGTTCTGTGCTTTTCTCTAAAACATGAGAGTACTAACACGTGTTAGCGGGGAGTCCTAGCTCAGTGGTCTCCACATTTGGCCAACGATCATGACTTGTCTGGGGCCCTTGTTACAGTGCAGATTTCCAGGGCCCAGCCTCAGCGGCCCTGTTACGTCTGTGGCTGGGTCTGGGCGCCTGTTCTTTCAGAAACCTCTCAGGTGATTCTTCCACTGTCTTCTCAGCGGCTGGGTTTGGTGACCTCCAAAACCCCTGTTAACCCTGAGATAGGCTTCTGTAGAGATGATGTCCTTTACAGGACTCATAGATGTTTCATTAATAATAATTGCAATTTGTCTTGAATGATTGTTCTGTGCTAGCATTTTCCTAAGCATTTCACAGACGGCCACGTTACTGACCACTCCTGACAGCCCTGTGTTGTCCATTCAGACTGAGAACACGGCCCACCCTGTACACGGTCAAGGACAGAAGCAGAATTGAAGCCAGGTCAGACATCCAACCGCAGGGCCTCACCCCTGGCTGCACTGTGTCCTAAACTCAGGGTGGAGCTGCTGGAAACATTGGGCTCCTGGTCCTCCCCCCAGGATAGGGGACGGTTCTCTCATCGCCCACTGTTCCCTGGGCCTTGGCAAGCTGTACACATCGCAGGCAAAGAAGTTATTGTTATTAAACCTTGCCTTCTGAGAAAAAAAAACCATTTTTATTGACTGAAATTTAGGAGCAGGCACTAGAGTTGGCGGGTGGAGCGGGGGCGGGGCACTTCCCAGGTGGTGCAAGTGCTGAAGAATCCACCTGCCGATGCAGGAGACGTCAGGCATGGGTTCCATCCCTGGGTCAGGAATATCGCCTGGAGAATCCCCGTGGACAGAGGAGCCTGGCAGGCTACAGTCCATCGGGTCGCAAAGAGTCAGACAGCACTGAAGCAGGGAAATGGGGAGTTCTTGGAAATTAAAAAAGGTTATGGAAGGCAGTTTCCACTGAAATATTGCCTACATTTCTAATCCAGACAGAATCATCATTTTGTGCGTTAATTGTGGAGAGGAAGCAGAGATTAGGTGTGAGATCACAGACACTTCTTCCCTTCCCCAAACGTCCATGGCAGCCCAGTGTGACGGAGAGATGCCTGGGTTGCCCTCCTGAGCCCAGAGCTGACCAGGGGGCTCCAATTCCCGCCCAGGCTGGGGCTTATCGACGCGTAGCCCGGAGCCTTATTTTAAACCGAAGGGATTTTTAGATGAAAGGAAATTGTGATTCTAAAAATAAATCCATCAATAGACAAGCTTCCGCGATTTCTGTTTCAGTTTAAATGGCTAAGCATAAAGGTAGATGCTGAGCAAGGAAAACATTCAGTTATTCTGCCAGACAGTTCATCCTCATCCCTTTGGTCTTCCTTTCTAGATTTCATGGTGTAAATGTCAGCTCGAGTGGACTCCAGCTGAGAAGAAAGTCTTAATTATTGAACGATATGTCAGAAGACAAACTCGCAGCCTCTAACCTAACTGAAAATGATGTGAATTTTTATATGCTTTTAGAAGAACCAGTATTTTGTTTGCTAAAATAAAATAACCTTTGTAGAATAATCCAGGGTACGTGTGTGCATGTCTCTCTCCCTCCCCCTCACTCTCCTCTGAGTAGTCAGAGGAGGAGGGAGTTTTGCATTTACAGCATTTTCTCGCCGTGGGCACCAGATCAGAGGTACCCCTCTGAAGAGGACTGGGCCATAGACAATCCCTATCACCCAGCCCTCCATCCTTCTTATCTGCTCCCTGGCGCATCCACTCCTCATCACCTCTTTGGCTCCTCCTGCAAACACTGTGGCCCTTTCTCGTGTCCGCATCCTTGGGGTGGAAGGAGGCTGTTCACCCCTCCAGCAGCATTGGCGCCTCTGCTGAACCTGTGAGGTCCTTGCAGGGAGGAGCCGGGGTGAGACCAGGGTGGGTACCAAGTCTAGGAAGAAGTCAGGCTGAGGGGCCCAGGTATGCTTCATCCTCTTCCCACCAGTTTGCTTGTTGGGATTTGCTGATATGAAATGAAGGACAGGTACCAAGAAGACTTTCAGATTGAGAGAACAAGGGTCCATAAGTATTTTTCTCTGCTTCTAACAGATTGAGGTCTCTAAAGTTCCTGTTTCTTCACTTCTCTCAAGATGCCGGAGAGGATGGGGAATGAGGAAACAGTAACCAAAGCCACAAATACAGTGGCATATTTGGTCTCATTGCTGGCAGCCACATGGACAATTTGAAAGAGTGCCTATTAGTAGATACCCACCCTGACCCCCACGCCACGCTGGCCCAGATTGGTGGAACTTGGATTTTTAAGCATGAGGGATAAAAGGAATTACATTTTTCTTATATTTTGCTATGATTGCTGGATGCTCCTTATCACAACTTAGAAAAGAGAATTTATAGAGAATCAAAGTTTTCAATGGCCTCCCAGGTGGCTCAGTGGTAAAGAATCCACCTACCTATGCAGGAGACACTAGTTTGATCCCTGGTGAGGAGAAGGAAATGGAAACCCACTCCAGTATTCTTGCCATGGACAGAGGAGCCTGGCGGGCAACAGTCCGTGGGGTCACAAAGAGTCAGACACGACTGAGCGACTGAACACATCACACACACACGGAGTTTTAAATACAGGAGATTTTGACTCTATAAGCTACAAGTCCCAAAATAATCAGAGGGGGACTTTCCCCTGACATTTCATGGAGAATCTATGCTACCTAGTTCAGGTTTATTTTAAACACAGGTGATTGCCTAAACCTTGGGGTTTAAACCTCAGTTTTGGAAATTGTGGAACATCTTGCCATCTTGAAAACTTGGGTAGCAGATGACCTCAGCATGGGAATAAACCACTGACCATGCCCATGGATTTTCTGTAAACTGTTGGAGGTTTAACATCATCTGTCTGATACTCTCTTATACCACTAGGGGGAGATAATGAATCACTATTCTGTCACTAAGTCGTGTCTGACACTGCAGCCCTCCAAGCCTCCCTGTCCTTCACTATTTCCTGGAGAGTACTCAGATTCATGTCCATTGAGTCGGTGATGCCATCTAACCATCTCATCCTCTGTCATCTCCTCCTGCTGCTCTCAATATTTCACAGCATCGAAGTCTTCCAATGAGTTGGCTCTTTGCATCAGGGGGCCAGAGTATTAGAGTTTCAGCTTCAGCATCAGTCCTTCCAATGAGTATTCAGGGTTGATTTCCTTTAGGATTGACTGGTTTGATTTCCTTGCAATCCAAGGGACTCTCAAGAGTCTTCTCCAATGCCACAGTTCAAAAGCATCAATGCTTTGGCGCTCAGCTTTCTTTTTGGTTCAACTCTCACATCCATACATGACCACTGGAAAAACCATAGCTTTGACTATAGGGACCTTTGTGGGCAAAGTAATGTCTCTGTTGCTTACATGGACATAAACCATATACGTGTTCAGGCCTCACTAAGTGTGTCATGACTGTACCACTGGGAGCTGGCACAATGCCTGGTACATAGGAGGTTCTCAGAATGGATGAACAGATAAATATAAATATGACCCTTGTGACCCACGTGGAAATGAGTCAGGAACTTGGCTCATCACTGTTAACAGGTTGCTGTCAGGGACTGAACTGTGTCTCCCCCAAATCTCATGTTGAAGCCCTGACTCCCAGCACCTCAGAATGTGACTATATTTGGAGATAGGGTCTTTAAAGGGGTGAACCTGGTGGCTCAGATGGTAGAGCGTCTGCCTGCAATGCGGTAGACCTGGGTTTGATCCCTGGGTTGGGAAGATCCCCTGGAGAAGGAAATGGCAACCCACTCCAGTACTCTTGCCTGGAAAATTCCATGGACAGAGGAGCCTGGTAGGCTACAGTCCATGGGGTCGTGAAGAGTCAGACACGACTGAGCGACTTCACTTCAAGGCAAAATGAGGTTCAAGGGATGGACCCTAATCCCAAAGAACTGGTGACTTTATTAGGAGAGGAGATTAGGACAGAGACAGGGGGAAAGTCCAAATAAGAACACAGCAAGAATGTGACCATGTGCAAGCCAAGTAGAAAGGACTCGCATGAAACCAGGCCTGCTGATACCTTGATCTTGAACTTCCAGCCTTCAGAACTGCAAAAAAATTAATTTCAGCTATTTTGTTATACAACCTTAGCAAACTAACAACTATCAGTCTCTTTCCAGACCTACTGCAGATGTAATGTACCATCGTGGATAGCTAGCAATTCCCGGTTTCCATATCATAGAAGCCAGACAGGAATTGTTCTCAGTGTGTTCCATGATGCTTTGAAATCCAAAGTGTATCCATGGGACCAGCTCAGCTGTAAGAAAGTCCTTTATGAGGTCATCATCCTACTCTGGCCAGAGGGAGATAGGCAAGTTTCAAAAAATACTTGAAGACCTACCATGCCTCACTTTGCAAAACCTCTTTTGAGAAACATTGTTATCAGAAATCTATTCAATAGCATCAAGAGGAAGCAATGTCTCCAGTATTTGCAAACACTGAGAACAATGCAATATGATGGGTTTACAACAGTATATTTTGGGGAAACCGATATCCCTGAGAGTCTTGTAACTGGGGAAGATTTTAGTGATGGTTATTACATGCCAACTCCAACCTGGTGTGTTGTGCATGCTGGTGGTAGTCAAGGATGGGTGCCGTGGAAATATCGAATGTTCCTAAGGGATGAGTTATGCGTCAAACAGGAAGACAACCTCTTCTTTGAGTTCTGTGATGTGGTGAAGAAGACCTATGGCAAGCGCGCCGTCGTGGTCAAAGAGAGAAGGCGGCAGGATGAGATGAGGCCGAAGGAAGGCAGAGACTGAGGCCCAGGTCCAGGTCCCCTCAGTGGTTAACTTGACAAGCGTCACGTGTTGTCCTGAGGTAGCCAAGTCCTACGGCCATAAATTACTCGCTCTGCCTTCTCCTTACAGTTACCTGAACCCTTTAGACTCAGCCTGGTCTTCTCTGAAATGGTTCATCATCAATAGCAGGAAGGAGTTTTCTCTGCAGTCCGTGGATGGTGTCTATTCTTACCAGTATATACTCTTCAGTGATTTAGTCAGCAAAGGAATTGAAAGGATGAACCTCAGCAAGTGGAGGACAATAACTAACAAAGTGCGAAGATGGGAAAACTACTATCTTGGTAAACTTTCCTAAGGTGGTGATCCCTCCAACCAGTGGTAGGATGGTGCTGTGGGCATGGTCTTTACTGATTCTGTTGGCCTTGATTCTGGACCACTGTGGCCAAAGACACTCTAATAATGACCTCGCAGGGATCCTGTGAGAGCTGAGGTTCCTGAGGGCTTTGATAAAGTGCTTATGGTTTGCTGAGGGGTTTCATTAAATCTTGTTGGTAAATTAGTAATCTTGACTCTCATTCTAATCAAGGCCACTTTGAGGGCTATTATGTCCATGGGAGGATTCAGGTTAACCCAGTCCAAAGGAGCCTGGCGATGAGCAGAGGTGAACAGAGCTAAAGGTTGTATGGTCAAAATTGAGGTCTGGGATAAAAAGAGAACCAAGTGTGTGGTCACAAAAAGTTGAAATTAACTAGTGTTCCTACCGGTTTTGGTCCACCAGAGTAATCCACAGGGAGGCAGGTGTGGTCTGGGTGGTGGCTGAACTGGCTCTTTCCTTCCATTGCTTGAAAGCAAGGAGGCAGAGGGATGAGCAAGAGACATCCAAAGAAGTGAAATCCCATGTAGATCCTCCAAGGCAACTTGGTGGTCCCCATAAGGAACCTGGGAAGCTGTGACACTAGTTGGTTTAAGTAGGACTTGGTGGGCAAAGGCAAGTTGGTGGCCTCCATAAGAAATCTGGGAAGCTGTGACAGTAGTTGGTTCAAGTAGGACTTGGTGGGCAACCAGGTGACATAAATAAGAGTGTCTAAAGCATCTACTTATCCAATTCATCTCCCATTCCAACTCCAAGAATCCCAACAGTTCAGTTCAGTTCAGTTTGCTCAGTCATGTCCAACTCTTTGCCACCCCATGGACTGCATGAATTTCCTCAAACTCATGTCCATTGAGTCGATGATGCCATCCAACCATTTCATCCTCTGTCCTCCCCTTCTCCTCCTGTCTTCATTCTTTCCTGGCATCAGGGTCTTTTCCAATGAGTCAATTCTTTGCATCAGGTGGCCAAAGTATTGGAGTTTCAGCTTCAGCATCAGTCCTTCCAATGAATATTCAGCACTGATTTCCTCTAGGATGGACTGGTTGGATCTCCTTGCAGTCCAAGGGTCTCTCAAGAGTCTTCTCCAACACCACAGTTCAAAAGCATCAATTGTCTGGTGCTCAGCTTTCCTTATAGTCCAATTCTCACATCCATACATGACTACTGGAAAAACCATAGCCTTGACTAGACAGACCTTTGTTGGCAAAGGAATGTCTCTGCTTTTTAATATGCTGTCTAGGCTGGTCATAACTTTCCTTCCAAGGAGTAAGCATCTTTTAATTTCATGGCTGCACTCACCATCTGCAGAATCCCAACAGGAGGTCATTAGAACATCGTGCATTTGCATCTTGGGACCCTGGTTGCTGAGCCACCTGTGGTTGATACAACAGCATCCTATTCAAGTTTGGAGCTGCTGTTGATGGTAGTTGTAAGGATTAGTGGTGGCATTTTTCACTTTTGTAGAAAAACACCTGCCTCTTATTAAACATTACAAAACTCACTCTTGCTTATGTATGTTCAAGCATTAATTTTACAATTGAGGCAATTATGCTGGGATATGTTGAAAACAACATCTGAAAATTGCTACCCAGTTCCCAACGGACTTGCCTATACATCAGATGGTGAGACTAGGTTTCTGCTAACCAGTATAAAAGTGAAAAATGCCACCACTAATCCTTACAACTACCATCAACAGCAGCCCCAAACTTGAATATTTGCTTGTTGCCCTGCCCTACTCACTTCCTAAAAGTCCTTGGATTATGCAGAAACATTCTGTCAGAAAAGAGATGTTCAATGATTTTCAGCAACTAAGGAGTGACTCCCACAGCATTTTGTTTTCATGCTTTTTATCTGGGGATGAATTTCACCCAACAGTGCCAGTCACTTGGAACCACACAGTCTCAGCTGCACCTCCAACTTTACAGCCTACTGTGCTGTGTGAGTTTCTTATGACAGCTACAACAAATGACTACACACTTGTTAGATTAAACAAATAAAAGCTTATGCTCTCCCCGTTCTGGAGGCCTGACGTCTGAAATCAGTCCCACTGAGTCAACATCGAGTTGTCAGCCAGGCCACCATCCCTCCCTGAGCTCTAGGGGCGAATACATTTCTTGCCTCTTTCAGCAGCTGATGGCTGCCAACAATCCTTGGCTTGTGGCCACATCCCTCCAAACTCAGCTTCGGTGGTCACATGAATTCCTCCTCTTCTGTGTCAAGTCTCCCTTTGTTTCCCTCTTTTTTTTTCTTTTTCTTGAGGACAGGTAATAGGACTCGGACCTGCTTGGTGACTTCAGCGTCAGGGGCCTGAACGCCCCCACACTGCAATTCTCTCACACCTGCCCAGGGTTCTGCAGTGACAAGCACTAAGAGCTCACACGCTTGCCTCATTTCACCCGCACAACAGGGGGTGACGCAAGAATCGCCACTGTCTCCATTTCCCAGAAGGGTAAACCAAAGCGCAGAGGTATAACTCACTCCAGAGTGGAGGAGCCGAGTTTCAAATCCAGAGTTCCTGGTTAAGAACCCTCCACCAATGAGCGTTCATTCATTCTCATGACAATCCCTCCATTTTACAGACGGGGAAACTGAGACCTTGAGCAGACACTTGGGCCAGTCAGATTCTAAAGCCCGCGTGTCCAGCTACATGCTTGGCTTGGTTAATGAAGCCCACCTTTTCTTTCTCACTGCACAGTTCACAAGGTGTAAGGCTCACCTCTGACATCAGACAGGCATCAGCCAACAAAAGAACTGCCTCCAACTGGACACCACAGTAAAATGTATTTCAGCACGCAGTTGAGCCAGAGGTAGATGCCTTTTCAAGGCACATGATTTTTCAGTGAGGAAAGAAAAAAAAAAAAAGAGGTTTTCAGGTTATCAAATGATCGAGATAGACTAACAGGAGTTGTTTTTTTTTTGAAAGCCAAAGTGATCAAATAAAGTGAGATTAGGATTGTATTTTTTCGAGGATTTGTTCAATCATTAGGAAAGCAAGAAGGGGAAAGAACATTGGTATAGCCAGAGATCAGAGGGCCACTGTCAATGTGCTGTTGGGGTATATAACATCACACTCATCATTAAGAAATGTTGCTTTATACCAAGTGTGGAAACTTCCAGCAGAAGAGAATGGAAAGTGCACTGTGTTTCAGGAATCAGATGGGCCTCGGTAGAAGCTTAAGTTTCCAGCTTGTTAGCTAGGAGACTTTGGACAAGTTACTTTACTTCCCTGAGACTCAGCTAACTCATTTGTAAACTAGAGTTAAGGGCTTTAAATGCTTAGTACAAGCCATGCCACTACCTCGAGAATTCCCGTTATTATAGTCAGGCTGGGCTTCCAGAAACACTTCCACAGCTAGACCTACTGCCGCTGACCTCATCCCCTTCTCACTCTTAGGAAGCTCCTGCTGCTCTTATCATTTGGTTGTAATAAAGGCAGACACAGCCATCTTAAGATGCTTTGATCAAAGGAAATGATGTTCACTGGCATTTCTTTTCAGACCATCTGCGATAGGTTAGGGAAATAAGGATAATAAAGTTTCTTCTGGTGGAGTGGACCAGAAGGGGTGGTGAGGATACCTGGAATCTTTTGGGGGGCAGCGCTTGTATGACATAAACAGTGGGTGTCAGGACAGCGGCCCTGGGTGGTGGACACGTCCCCTGGAGGGGACTCTGGTGTCGGTGGCACTGACCCCTTCCAAGAGCGCGGCTGATGGACCCTCTTGTCGTCTTTGGTCCTCACCGGCACTAACAAGCACGTCGCCACTTCCTTCCCACAGGCCGGAGTGCTTCCGCCCACACGCCCCCAACTCCAGGAGGCGGGATGTTGGAAAATGGCCCTGCCCTGGGATGAGCGCAGAAGAGGAACACGGAGCCAGATGCGTCCTGGCTCTGCCCTTGACCGCTCAAGGACGGTCCAGGCTCAGCTGGGTTGATGGAGCCCACACCTGGCCAATCAGGGGACCAAGCAGCACCCCCACCCCGGGCAGTATAAACTCCTCCCATCTGTGACTGATTTACAGAACATTTTTACATACTTGACCTCATTCAGTTTAGACAACCACCCTGTATATAGGCAGGGCAGTGATCCTGAAGTTCATTTTACAAATGAAGACGAGATCAGGTGGTAACTGACTCACCTAGGGGCATGCACACACACCTGTAGGGACAGGAGGGTCAAAGCTAGAATCCACGTCTTCCTATTAGGAAGCACTCACATCCCTCTCTAGCTGGCTCTATGGGTCAGCCAGGATCAGGCCAGGCTACGAGTGGTGGAGCCCTAACCACAGAGGTTTAAATAAAGTAGGAGTTAATCCCCTATCCCTGCAACCAACACAAGAAGTCCTAAGGTTCTAAGGTGACAGTTTACGGTTAATAGGATGGATCCGTCATCATAAAGAGCCCAGCATCTTATCTTTTTCTTCCACTGTCCTAGACTTGGCTCCATCCTTGAACTCCTAGTCCAAAATGGCTGCTGACCAAGTCATTGCATTAGCATTCCCAGCAGAAGAGAAGGAACAAAAGTGGAAAGAAGGACCCATCCCTTTTCTTTTAAGGGACTTTACAGGAAGTCTCACCGAGCAGACTTAGGCTCAAGGGAAGCTGGGAAAGGTAGTCTTTACTTTGGGTAGTGAGGCGGCCAGCTGAACATCCTTCCTTCCTTTGGGTGTGACCACTTGTCCACTCAGCAATAATGCGAGCACCCTCAATGTGCCTATAGTCTGTGCCCTGGACAGGGGTCCAAAGAAAGCAAGCTCGGGCCCTGGAGGCAGTCAGGCTGGTGGTAAGGAGCACGTCTCGGTCAGTGAGACACTGGAGGTGAGGGAAGTGAGGGGTCAGAGTCCAGGGCTGGTGCGGGGAGTTGTGGGCAGAGTGGCAGGAAGAAATAAAGCTGGAGCCGAGCCCAGAGGAAGCGGTGCTGCTTATCACAGAGGGAGAGGGGAGAGACCGCCCGCCCAGGCAGAAAGTCAAGTGTGCCCAGGCTAGCAGCTTCCTTCGTCTTGGCTTCTGTGAGCATGAACTTGTGTGTGTGTGTGTGTGTGTGTGTGTGTGTGTGTGTGTGTGTGTATGGAAAGTGGGGAGCAGTGTGAGTGGAAAGAAAGGAATGTAAATGTGGAAAGGACAGGGTGGAAGAAGGAAGCCATGCATTGTGTGAGAAGGAGCCTGGGCTATTCTGGAAGGAAAGCAAAGAGGCGGGAGGGTGCTGAGCAGGGCAGTGGGTTACGGTTTTCAGTAGGGTGGGGACCCATAACTTTTCCCAGTGAGGAGTCCAGCTCCTGGTTAAACACCCTTGTGTGGTTTTCCAGGCCCAACGGCGGCAGTTACAGTGGCGTTGCCCAGCAGGGCCTGTGGGGACAAAGGCTGCCTCCCCCAGCAGACTGGGAGGCAACCAGCGCCCTGCAGTCTCCACAGGTAGCAGTCGTCGAGGACTCAGGGATCCCTGGCCTGTGGCGGGAGGGGCACTGCAGACCTCAGGCCCCCAGCCTCTGCCCACTGGGGCTGGCACCCCTCCTGTGCTTGGAGCCAAAGGTGTTGCCTCAAGCCAAAAGGGAAACTGAGGCCACCAGCACAGCTCCCCTGGACACCACCTTGGCCCACAGTTATCAAGGCCTGTAGTGCCCAGGCACCTGGATGCCACCCATCCCCGCCCAGCCAGCTTCCCTCCGCCCCCCTCCCTTTTGCGTCTCCCTCATCTTGTGACCCAATGCCAGCTTACTTCTGGAGAAGCCTCTCCCTGCCCCCTGCCTTCCCCTCCAGCTCCCACTGGCTCTGTCCCCTCCCGCGAGGTTTGCAGCCCTCGGCAAAGCTGGGAGACCTTCTTTACAATTTTCAAATAACCAGCTTGCTGTGTTTTCAGGTGAAGTCCCTCCAAATTTAATTCAGTGGGTCTAATTCAGAATCTGAAAAAAAAAAAAAAGTACAGTACAAAAAAAAAAATCAGTATATTAGTGTTCAACGTATCTGAAAAGGATTGAGCCAAGGAAAGTGACTAGTGAAAGAGAAAGTAGCTCAGTCGTGTCCAACTCTTTGGGACCCCATGGACTGTACAGTCCATGGAATTCTCCAGACCAGAATACTGGAGTGGGGTAGCCTTTCCTTTCTCCAGGGGATCTTCCTAACCCAGGGATCGAACCCAGGTCTCCTGCACTGCAGGCAGATTCTTAACCAACTGAGCTAGCAGGGCCAAGGAAAATATTGGGCCAATTATTTGAAAGCTAATTATTTGTAACTAACATTGCTCAGTGGACAGAGGAGCCTGGCTGGCTACAATCCATGGAGTCACTAAAGAGTTGGGCACAACTTAGCCACTAAACAATAATGAACCTATTGCTCAGGCATAATTGGTTTCCTGACTTTGCAGACCACACACACACACACACACACACACACACACACACACATACATACCCCTTCACACACACACCCCTTCACACTCACACACCCCTTCACACACACACCCCTTCACACTCACACACACCTTCACACACACACACACACACCTTCACACACACACACCTTCACACTCACACACCTTCACACTCACACACACCCTCACACACACACACACCCCCCTTTACACACACACACCTTCACACTCACACACACCTTCACACCCACACACACCTTCACACACACACACACCTTCACACTCACACACCCCTTCACACACACACCACCCTTCACATACACACACAGACACACACACACACGCTTGAAATAAGAATGCAAATGGCACTGTTTCCTTTTATTTTTTAATTGCTCATTTTATTTTTGCCTGTGTCAGGATCTTGTCTTCTGCCCCGGACTTAGTTGTCCCACAACATGTGGGATCTAGTCTCCCTGCTTGGAGATGGGACCCACGTCCCCTGCCTTGGAAGGTGGGTTCTTAACTACTGGACCAGCAGGGAAGTCCCCCAAATGGGTGGTTTCCATTTCCTCACACCCTCCCCGCTCTTCATAGCCTGGCCTCTGTTCTCAGCGTGTCCTCTTGAAGACTTGATGACCCACGACTTCGAAGACCAAGAACTGCCTGCCCGGTCCTTGCTCGGGGGTGTAAGCGCAGCCCCTGAGCTGAGCTAGAGATCTGATCCTGTCTGCCTTTGACAGAGAGGGCAGCCTCTCTGAGCCTTTGCTTCCTTACCTGTGAGATGGGGAAGATGACAACTGTTGGGGGTCATCGATGTCAAGCGGGTGTTCGAGTGAAGGGCTGAACGAGCATTCGCGGCTCCCTTCTCTCTCCCCCTCCTCATTCTGCCTCTCCGGATGCTCCTTCCCAGCCTGGCTTCCGCTTCGCCTCCCACTGCCCATGTTTAAAGTCCCAAAGGAAGTTCAAGGACCATCTCCCCTGAATCCCCTGAGGGGGGTTTCAAATTTGTACACAGATTACCAGTCTCCTCCGCAAGGGTTCTGATGCATTGGATATGGAGCCCAACCCAGGAACCTGCATTTCAAACCGCTTCTTGTGTGCGAGAACCTCGACCCTCTTTCCTGCAGACGCCCTGTCACCCCTGACTTCCCTCCGGGACGGAGGAGACCGCAGGATCTCTGCGCACCCCGGGACCCTGAGGTGGTTGGGAAGACATCCTCAAGTAGGTGCGCTTTCTGGAGATGAGAATTTCGGAGATAGACTGGCGAGAGGTGACCTTTTAATAAGCACCCCAGACTTTTTGTTTGAAATATTTAGCTGCTGAAATACATTATGGACGTCTCTGCCTTGTTAAGCAAACTTTCACCTTTTCTTAACCACTAGATTCATCCCGAGCAGGTTAAAAACAAGTGGTGTTCCTGATGTGGGATCGGTGATCATATAGACGAGGTCCCAAACCTGGCCTGCTGCTCACAGGCTGTCTTTCTTGCTCTGAGGTATGTTTGCTGCTAACAGCCTTTCTTCATTTCTGCTTCTAGTACGACTTAAGCTTGAAACACAATCCCCCCTCCCAAATGTGTTAGGAACTCACACAGGATCCTAAGGCTCTCCTGTGTGTGGAGGACACAGATTTCAGTTCACGCTCTTTGAAACATCTTCCAGCTGCCCAGGAATGGTGTTCTTCTTATAGATTCATTCTCCATTATGGTCCAGAGAGGTGCTGGATAGATGCAGTCAGAAGGGGTCCTGAGTGTGGGCTTCACCAGTCACTCCATCCACTGACATCTCTGTGCATTCACGTCCAACCAATTATTTAAAGTCAAACTGCAAATCTACTGAATTCATGTATATGGATTGGAATAGTATCAATAATTCCAACAAGTGATTAAATGCACAAACTACCATACAATTGCACTCATTTTTGCATGTTTATAAGGTTATGCTCAAAATCCTTCAAGCTGGGCTTCAGCAGTACGTGAGCTGAAAGCTTCCAGATGTACAAGCTGGGTTTAGAAAAGACAGAGGAACCAGAGATCAAATTGCTGACATTTGTTGGATCACAGAGAAAGCAAGGGAATTTCAGAAAAACATTTACTTCTGCTTCATTGACTACACTAAAGCCTTTGACTGTGTGGATCACTACAAACTGGAAAATTCAAGAGATGGGAATACCAGACCACCTTACCTGTCTCCTGAGAAACCTGTATATGGGTCAATAAGCAACAGTGAGAACCTTGCATGGCACAACTGACTGGTTCAAAATTGGGAAAGGAGTACAACAAGGCTATATATTGTCACCCTGCTTATTTAATTTCTATGCGGAGTGCATCATGCAAAATGCTGGGCTGTGTGAACCACAAGCTGGAATCAAGATTGCCGGAAGAAATATCAACCTCAGATATGCAGATGATACGACTCTAATGGCAGAAAGCTAAGAGGAACTAAAGAGCTTCTTGATAAGGGTGAAAGAAGAGAGTGAAAAGGCTGGCTTAAAACTCAACATTCAAAAAATGAAGGTCATGGCATCTGATCCCATCATTTCATGGCAAATAGGGGCAAAAATGCAGTGACAGGTTTTATTTTCTTGGGCTCCAAAATCACTGTGGACAGTGACCGCAGCCATGAAATTAAAAGACGCTCGCTCCTTGGAAGGAGAGCCGTGACAAACCTAGACAGCGCATTAAAAAGTGAAGACGTCGCTTTGCTGACAAAGGTCTCTATAGTCAAATGTATGGTTTTTCCAGTAGTCATGTATGGGTGTGAGAGCTGGATCATGAAGAAGGCTGAGCAATGAAGAATTTATGCTTTTGAATTGTGGCATTGGAGAAGACTCTTTGAAGTCCCTGGACTGCAAGGGGATCAAACCAGTCAATCCTAAAGGAAATCAGTCCTGAATATTCATTGGAAGAACTGAGGAGAAGAACTGACTCATTGGAAAAGACCCTGATGCTGGGAAAGATTGAAGGCGGGAGGAGAAGGGGACGACAGGATGAGATGGTTGGATGGCATCTCGGATTCAATGGACATGAGTTTGAGCAAACTCTGGGAGACGGTGATGGACAGCCTGGGGTGCTGCAGTCCATGGGGTCGCAAAGAGTCAGACACAACTGAGCGACTGAACTGAACTGAACTGAACATATGGACTTTGTGCCCACTGCCTGCCCACTTTAACAATCAAGAGTGTTTTTTCCAGGTGACAGAAAGAGGGTATGGTGAACAGCAAAAGAAAGTCAGCCTGTGTGCCTGTCTTTCACTGGGGCTGCCAGTTCTTGACCTAATTCAATACCCTGCCTGCAAAGACTTGAATTTTGTACACTCGAGGCAAAATGACAGTTCACTTCAAACTCCAGCAGCCTCTTGAATTTCCTTTGTATTTTCTTATCTCCTTAGAGCTAAAGATGTTTCATAAATGTGCATAATGGATTCCGTCAAATGAAGATATGGACAAAATGATTTAGCAGGTCCTTTACTTGACTGTTGAATGGTTGGGGATTTTCTTCCCAAGAAGAAAACCCAAGAAGGTTTTCTTGAGACTCAAGTTTAGGCAACACCAGACAATAGGATTGAATCCTGTGCTCTCCAAGCACCTTTCTCAGAGGATAGAATCAGTGGATTTGGGTTGACAATTGTGGCCATTTTCTCTTAGAATTTTTCTTTTAGTAATGGGAACCATTTTCAGATCAAAATTGATATGGTTGCTTAATATGGAGAAGAGAAGTCTGTTTGCTCGGCTGAAGTGGTAAAGGTAATCCTAGAGCCTCCCCCCATTCAACCACCCCTTTCTCCCCCTACCCCACAGGACCCTGTGGCCTGGAGCAATGTGAAAACATTATCTAATACAATGAAGTCAATTCTAAGACAATAGTTATTTTCTTCTCTCATCCAATCTTCATTTATGTATGGATATGAGAAATATGCTCAGAAATATAGAAGAGACTGTATAATGTGACCTTTGTGTAAATACATGCGTGTAAATGATAAATAATATGCATATTTGCTTGTATCTTCAAATATAAACAACAGAAGAATAAACCTAACACTAAAT